GAGGCCCGCGTACCGCAAAAAAAAAAAAAAAAGATATACGTTTAATCTTCTATTTGTCTATCATATGTGTAAATTATTTATTAGAAGTAGATATACTTTTAATTTTAATAATACATTAACAGATACATTTTCAGAGTTGTGCTTAATATAATTTTTTTTCCAGTTTTTCCACTGCCAACCAAATGTCTAATTAAATTGCAACCTTTTCTTTGCAAGTTAGAGAATTAGTCCCTAGGGAATACTTATCACCTTGTTAGTACTAACTGTTCTTACTTCCATCTGATTTTTTAATCGAGCAAGAAAAATACACTAATAATGTGATTAGCTGTACACAGCATGGACTTTCTCCTATGGAGCATCACCATGAGAGAGACAGGTACAGTGACACAAGTTAAAAGAAACCCTTTTCCTCTTAGAGAAATATAAAAGTTCAACTTACCTGTTTTTTCATTTAGAAAAACAGGATAGTAAACTATGTCCAGCATACAGTAAGCCTAAAACTTGCTTTCACGTTACACAGGCAGCTAAGGTGAAAAAGGATAGTAGGAAAGAGAAAAAACGAAGAAGGGACAGACAGGGAAAGGGAATGACAGAGACACACCAGACGTGGAGAAAGGACACGAGCAGGAGCAGGGGAGAGGCAGGCAGGTCCCGGGGTGCAGAGGCTTGAGCCGAAGTGAACTGTTCTTGTCACGCCCTTTGGTCCCTGAGCTGTAGGCACCCATAAAGGGTACTGCTGTCCTGTGTAGGTGAGTGAGCTTATGAACCGCGCCTTCCAGCTTTCTTGACTGTAACCCTTTCATCTGGGGACGGCCCTCTTTTAGAGGGATCATCACCAGTCCACAGGGGACATATGAGGACCTTCTCCTCTGGGCCAAGATGGCAGTGGCCTGAGCTAGTTCACTGTGAGCCACAGAAGATGGAGCTGAGAGTCGTATCTGGCTCTAGGGCTGAAGTGTTCCCACCACAGGAAGCAATCCCGGGCCCAAGCCCTTTGACAGGGGCTTACCTCCTCAACCATCTGCTTGACTTTCTTCTGCTGGCAATGCACCATGTCATCTAGGTGTCGGATCCGCTCCCGGAGGCTGGCCGATGCCTCCTCCAGCCGCTGATACCTAATACAAATAGAAGAAAGAGCAAGTGAATCCTCCAGCAAAGCAACAAGAGCAGCACCCAGAGTCACCGCCTGAAGGGAATACTGCCCAGAACAAGATGCACTCTTCCTACTTCGTGTGTATCCTAGTTTATTAACTACCAATCGACCAGCCCGCTGTAGAAGGAAGATAGGACCATGTTTCAAGTTCCCACTTGCAAGTTTTGTCCTGTATAAGGACAGTTACTATACTTTCCAGGGGCTGAGAGAGAATTTTTTTGCACCACTTACAGATATAAGAGGCTTTTTCTTTTTGGGTTAATACAGCATTGGAACACCCAGTAATTACCACGATTAGGAAAACAGAGAAGGAGAAGATTCTGGCAACACAACAAAGTATCTGGAATCAAGTGGCAGAGTCCTGGAAAGTCAGGAATTACCACTGTTCCATACATCATTTATTTTGAGGAAATGGGAAAGATGCTGCAAGACCCTCTCTCCATCAAAACAGAGCAGACCACCTCATAAAACATTTCATACTTTGAAAAAAAAAAAAAGCACAAATTATCCTTAGACTTTACTTGGTTCAAATAAACCAAAGGAACCAGCAGATGGACTCTACAGTCCTCTGGGGCCACTGGACTGGAGCACGGACGAAGGGTGTGGTGGTCTGCTTACCACTTCCCATCTCTGCCAGGTCCCTCCTCAGCGCTATGTTAAAGACTAGGGAAGATCCCTATAACTCTGCAAACTCTGAAGTTGCACAAGAGGAAGGAGAACAGGTATCTTTTCAGCACATACTATGGCAGGCAGTACACCCAGCAGTTCCCTCACAGTAATACCCCAATGAGATGCGCACTGTTCACATCATTACAACTCTCCCCACTTGAAAGAAGAATTCCCATTTTACAGAGAAGCAAAGAATCTCAGGGTTGTTAAGTAACTTGCTCAAATGCTCAAAGCATCCCAGCCTTGTTTTCCTTCACTAGAGGGCCGTGCGTGGCCTCGCTGCCTTCTGGTTTCCAGAAGAGGCCGTGGACTGCTCGTGCATTTCCCATGCAGGGCTTTATACACTCATAGCCAGAGGACAAGGCAAGGTTTCATTGAGGAATGTTTGGAAACAAAGACATTGTAAAATTAGTTTCCATGGCAATGGTATTAGTCACTCTTGAGTTTTCTCATCAACAAGGTGCATCCTGTGGAGCTCAAGGTTATGGAGAACATTTATAGACTGAACTCTGGTACTTGTGACAGGCTTTGACGTGTTCCACTGCACTAACAACCAGCCCTGGGTTGTAAGATGTGGCTGGAAGCTCCACGTTGGAAGCTCCCAGTCCAATGTTTTGCATTTATCAGTCTGCAATGGGTGACGACCAAACGAATGACAATGCAAGAACCAAGTGAGCCCACAAAAACACAGCGCGTCCACCATCTAAATCCATTACAAGACAAAGGGCATTACATCTTACCTTTCTTTGTCAGAATTGGTAATTTCCGTTGACATTTCTGTTTCATGCTCCAGGAGCTGGAGTTGAAGCTGATGGCGTTCCTAAAACAGACAGACACCAATATTTAATCTATGGATCCCAAGTTGGCTGGAGAACGTACAGCAAGCAACTCCAGCACTAGTGAATTCAAGTCTATGTGACACCCATGGGTTTTATACACCCACTTGCCAGGGTCCAAACAAAGCTCAAAATGTCAAATTTACTGGTGCGTATTTATAGATGAATATCCTGGATAAAGCCATTCAAGATTTTTTTTTTTTTTTCTTTTTTTTGGTGGTACGTGGGCCTCTCACTGTGGCCTCTCACGTTGTGGAGCACAGGCTCCGGACGCACAGGCTCAGCGGCCGTGGCTCACGGGCCCAGCCGCTCCGCAGCGTGCGGGATCTTCCTGGACCGGTGCACGAACCCGTGTCCCCTGCATCGGCAGGCGGACTCTCAACCACTGTGCCACCAGGGAAGCCCCAAGATTTATTTATTTATTTTTTAAAGCATTTCATCAGCCCAGGCTCAGATGTCTTGTGAAAATTTATGGTTCTAAATAATGTTAATCAATACTCTAAATCAGTGGCCTGTGATACTACAAATTTCTTGGGATTATTTTCTGAATCATCAAGAGGGTCTGGAATTCTGTAATATCCTATAAATTAACTGGGATGGTGTGTACACGGGTGTGTTCACTTGTAAAACTACATTGTGAAAATCAGAATAACAGTCCCCCAATGGTGTCCACATCCTAATCTCTGAAATTTGTGAATATGTTGCCTTACATGGATAAAGGAACTTCGCAGCCGTGATTAAGTTAGTGATCTTGAAAATGGGGAGGTTATCCTGGATTATCTAGTTGGGCTTGTATTAGAAGGAAGAAGTAGGGTTAGAGTCAGAAACAGACAAAGACTAGGAGATGCTACAATGCTGGCTTTGAAGCTGGAGGATGGGGCCATGAGCCAAGGAATACAGTCAGTCTCTAGAAGGGAACAAAGGCTAGGAAATGGATTCTCCTCTAGAGCTCCCAAAAGGAAGCCAGCCCTGCCAACACCTTGATTTTAGGACTTCTGACCTCCAGAACTAAAAATGATAAATCCATGATGCTTTAAGCCTCTAACTGTGGTAAACTGTTACAGTTTCAATAGGAAACCAATTCATGTATCAAGCTGTGCACTTAAGATTTGTACACTTTGCTGTGTGTGTGTGTGTGTGTGTGTGTGTGTGTGTATAAAAATTTAGAAGTCTACCTAAAGTAAGTAACATAAGGGACTTCCCTGGTGGTCCAGAGGTTAAGAATCCGCCTTCCAATGCAGGGGATGCAGGTTCGATCCCTGGTCGGAGAACTAAAATCCCACACGCTGCGGGGCAACTAAGCCCGCGTGCTCTACTGCCCATGTGCCACGACTAGGGAGAAGCCGGCGCCCCGCAACAAAAGATCCCGCACGCTGCAATGAATATCCTGCGTGCCGCAACTAAGACCCAATGCAGCCAAACAAACAAATAAATGCTTTTTTAAAGTAATATAAAATCTGGACACATTTCTTTGAACAAAGTGGAAAATATTAATGAAAACGTAGTGCCCATCACAACCAAAACTGCCCTAGAAATGTTACAGATGAGAGTATAATAAATTTCCTGACAATGAAGTTTATCAAATTCTGCTCATTAACTGGGAGGAGACTATTCTACTTTAGGTCCTTCTCTAAGTATGGCCGTGCCTCATCTTTAACCTGAGAAGTTCTCCCCAACAAGCTCTGGCTACTTATACACATTCCAAACGTCTTTTCCACCAAATATTCAAAGCAGATCCTTGAAACTTTAGCCCCCTCAACTTCTGAAGCTGTAAGCAGTGGCAGACCAAGGGTAGACCAGAGCTGGGGAGCAGTACACCAAGGGAGGAAGGGTGTGTTATCATCGATGTACTTAGAATAATGAAGGAAGACTGACTTTTCAGTGGGGTTTTATTACTGCTTTTAAATCTCTACAGCGAACGCACATTCTTACTGTCCCCACGGGTTCTGCCACTGGCTGGAAGTTTACATTAGCCCTGAAATAATAATGATGACTCTTTAACAAGCGAGCTTTCCCTCAGACTCCCCAGAAAGCTGTCTTAAAGTAGGGCAAGGCCTAACTTACAGCATACTTTAAAATTTGATTTTTTTCCTAAATTGAGGTACAACAAATCTTAAGTGAGTATTGCACAATCAAAACATTTGTATACACATTACCTGGTGAAACCACCACTGAGATCCAGGCATAGAATATTATCTATTCTGCAGAAGGGTCTCTGATAGAACACACTCCTTACAAGACTTCTACTGATCAGGAAAAAAAGGTGTTTGGCACACAATGCTGAGAACAGTAAACTGAGGGATACAGCACAGAAGCCATTCAAAAGGACATGGTTTGTCCTGGAGAAAAATCCAAAAATAGGTGAGAACAGGAATACAAACTCTGTGGGCACGCTGTTCACATCCTGTGTGACAGAGATTTGGCACAGTTCCTGCTGTCCCAGATTTATCCCTGAAGGGGGAAAAACAGTAAATGGGTAATCTAATCTTAGCTAAATAAAGCAAGCATTTCGCTAGCTTAAATGGGAAAGATTAAGGGAAGGACAATAGATTTTCAATCACTAAAGAAAAAGCCAAGAGGACGTGGGGAACATTTTGTGTCACACAAACGCTGGCAGGGACGGCGGCCGGCCTTACCAAAACCAGCCTGGCCCCCGGCCATATGGCCCTCACCCGGGCTGCATGTGCACATCAGTGGGAAAAAGCTAGGAACTTTCAGAATCACAAGGGTATAAAGAAACTCAGCTACAGAACAGGTCCAGCTGAAAAAGAAGCTGACACCAGGGGCAGACATATACGCAAGTAACAACATAAAAATCAGAGCCACACATTTGTGAGCCCCGACTTTATATATGCCAGGCACCGCGCTGAGCACTTGGCATGGATTTTTCTCGTGTACTCCTCACAGAAGGCCTAAGAATAAGAATTACTATTGTCAGCGTTTTACAGAAGAGGAAACTGAATTTGGAAAAGTCAAGTAACTGCCCACGATGAGAAAGAGAGACAAGACTCAAACCCTAGGTCTGTCTGATCCTAAAACCCATATTCTAAACCAGCACACGGACAGTCTGTCTGTACATCTCCCCGTGCTACCCGCTCACCTGGCTTCTGCTTGCTGCAGGACAATCTGTCACCCAGGGGGAGTATGTGCTTTAACCAGCACCGTCTGCTGTTGTAGGAGCGTGGTGATGTGGGAGATAGCTCACCCACGTCCTAGAAAATGCCCTCGTTGCCCAATCATTATGACTGCCACCTCCAGCCAATGCTGACGTTAGCCCTAACCATGCCACTTACCCGCTCTTCAATACCACATGGGATTCTGCTTTCCCAGAGGGTGGAGGCGAAATTGTAATTGACTCTCTATTTGCCCAAGTCCCTTACCCGAAACAGGAGCCCCCCCACCAGCCCCGAAGCTCCACAGTATTGCATTTAAGGCTGTTCCCAAGCTGGTTACGCCTCCCTTGACAGGGGACGGTGGAGGGGATCATGCCGCAGACACCACGAGTCGGCCCTCTTCTCAGAATCACCCGGGAGCCCAGCTGTTGACCCTGCTCACACTGTCACTCCCCCTCCCTCCATTGTCAGCCTGGAGATTCTCAGCATCCAGCGTGAGTGAGTTACAGGATGCTGTTGGGTCAGGTCTTGGCCGGTCAGTGCTGTTCTGCAAACTCATGCCATGCGAGAGCCACTTTCCAGGAAGCAGCCACAGCCCTAGCCTTCAACTACCCCCCTCCCCCAGCAGCAAGCCGTCACCTGCTGAAGGTCACCCGCCCTTTCTCTCTCTCCTTTTTTCTCTTTCCTCTCTCCCACCCCTCCTTCCCGTTTCTCCACTTCCTGCCTAATTTCCAGGCTCCCTCTCCCCTTTCTCGAGACTCTGGCTCATTATCCGGGCAGAGCTCCTGGCTTCTGCAGGCTTCCCCCCCGAACCCACAGAGAAAGGCAGTGTCCCCCGCGCCAACACAGCATGTCAGAGAAAAACCAACCCTTCGGGCTTCCCTGGTGGCGCAGTGCTTGAGAGTCCGCCTGCCGATGCAGGAGACGCGGG